GGTGGGCTAAGACCATAGAGTCTGAGTATCACTTAGGTATACTTGATACATAAGACATAGATTGACTATATCCTTAATATCATGGAGACCTTGTAACCAATTGGAAAACATATCTACTAACAATCGAGGACAATAGAGCTTGGTAACCCTACTGGCTAGCTCCCAATCGGGTATCCAATCATTCACCATGTATATTGGGCACAAGCAATAAATCCAACAAAACATGACATAGGGTATTATGTCCTCATGACACCCAAAACCTGTATAAATTATCATGTATTGTGCCACCATCTAAATCTACCTCACACAAAATGCCCCTTAACCATATTGCCAGTGACAAAACACCAACAATTGATGTGCAAAATAGGAGGTTGTGTGTGTAGATCGAGCTATGAAAGCTAGATGGGTCGTCGTCAACTTTTCTCTAAGCTAGGTTTTTTGCATTTGGAGACTAGACTTCATTGCCATCAAGGCAAACAACCTTACCCTTGTGACCACCTTCACCAAAGACTAAACCTTCCACTTTAGAAAATTGGACTTGATCATCGACAAGAAGTTTAGCAAACCTCACCTCCATGACTCAATGCACAACTAGCCGACATGGGCTCTACCATGTTCCCCACTTGGAAGTTCATTTGGGATGCAGAACTTGGCTTCCACTGTCCATGAAATCACGCCCAAAAAATGGATATGCACCCCATACATATGTCTTCAATCAATTTTATGTATCTTGACTGGTCAGCGTGTTTAATAAGTTGTTACTGCCTATCCTCAAATACGGATTGGATGTGGACAATAGCACGGACAGCTATTCCCCCTTTTGGTGCTCTTTATCCTAATAAGAGGAAACTTCATACTAGAGAGAGCTAGAAGTCAAACACAACCAGCTCCTAGCCAGGCAAGAGCAGCTATACGCTAAATGTTGATGTCCGCCAAATGAACAAGTTTGCTCGAATGCTAGGTGGTAGGAATGGAATGGGCCAGGTTGACCCATTGAGTAGTTTATCCGATTCATAAAAGTAAGGCCAATGGCTCACATGGGCCGGCCTCAAAAGCCTAAATTAGGTCAATAGGGCCAAAACCTATTGACACAATCGGTAACATGATGGGTTGATCTAATCATTAGATAACAACCTTTTTTGAAATTTATTGGTCTTCTTCTTCTTTCAGAATAAGCACTAAGAGACTATGACCTATGATAGCACAAAATATTTGGTTCGACTAATTCTATCCATTGAGACAGGAAAGTCACAGTCTTTAAGTGAAATGGGTTGACCCATTAACCTTAAAATTTACCTTGAAGCCACGGGGTTGGGTTCAAAGCCAGGACGGGTCTAAAGCAAAGGCTGTAGGTCAACCCATTTCCATCCCTAGCGGAATCAAGACCTTCATCGTGGCAGGGCCAATGGGGTTCTCAGGGACACTATCTGGCTGTCTAAAAAAGACCCGGCCGGCTAAATAACATCACCACACGGACTGACTATGGGCAAGGAAGGAAGGGCCGATTGCTTGAAAGCTTCTGATGAGTCCTTTTTGTCTGATCGAGTATTGTTGTACTACTGCCAGACATACAACTGGCTCAATTGTCAGATTCTCTTCTTCATCTCTCATAATCTAATAATTAGTTTGGAGCTCTAGCATAATTAGTTCATATGAGACCCTGCAATGCTTCAACTATGTCTAATAATTAGTTTGGAGCCATATAGAATGCGTGCACACCCGCAAAAAGGCATGTAGCCTACTGGTTACAAGAGCCTCAGTAGCACCTCATGTCCTATGTTCGACTTTCCATGGGAGTGAATTTTCTATGATTTAATAGCGTTATACTTTCAGTGATAGGCAACACTCCCGTCGACAGTGACGCATCTGTGGTGACTTTGTCAATCTCGAGGATTTGTCGGCCCAGTCATCGAAGATGCTTATAAAGGTAAGGTTTGTGTGCGTACGTTAATAGGGGTGAGTGTGTAGGATTTAATGACGTTATGCTTTCAGTAGTTGCTTATAAAGGTAGGGTTTGTGTTCATGCGTTCATAGAGGTGAGTATGTGCACATTGTGAGTGTCTGCGTTATACTATATGTAATTCGTAAAAAAATGCATGCACACCTAGCATGTTGTGCATGGTGAGGACTACTTTCATTCTCGGCAGATTCAGGCTAGGGTATATATTATTACCTCTGGTGGTGCTAAGGGTTTGGTTGTTTGAGATGTAGGTTTTGGTATTTTGACTTAAAAGGTGGCTTTTTGGCATTTGGCTTTTAATTAGGTATTGATTTTTTGTTATTAGCTTTTCAGCACACCAAAAATTAGAAAAGTTATTCTCAATGTGCTTTTCAACTTTGAGTTTATTTTCTCATAAGCGAGTTTTGAGCTTTTTAAAAACCAACTCGATGACTAAGAGGTTTATTTCAGCTTCTAACTTTTGGCAGATAAAAGCCAGATGCAAGATGAAATAAACAGACCCCAATAGCATCTCAGCAGTACCCTAATACATCATCTTATCTCTATAAAACAGTTATATTAAGGATAGCTATGTTTTTCTTGCTCCGGTAGTTTCTCAATACCTCTCCTTGTTTTTGTGGCCACTAATATTTTTCTCATGACCACTCTAACTACCATTTTTGAACTATCTTTTCACCCGCACACCTGTGGGACCTATCTTGCACATGGGTATTAGAGGAGATATATTGGGTTAATATTGTAGCAACTTTCCTAATATTTAAAAAGCAATAGTAATAAGTTATTAGAAAGCCGGTGGAGATCTCCATCTCCAATAGCAAGTATAATAACAGGCTTAAAGCTAATTAAATGTTAAGGTGGAGGAGAGAAGGGAGAAGAGAGAGGAGAAGCGGGTTGTAAGCTTATAGCCGGCTTGGGCACAACAACCAAAAAACTCTATGAGAGAGATAATTAGGTCATGTATTAATAGTGAAGAGCTAACTACTATATGGATAGACTAAATAAAACTTAAGAGTCTTAGAGCAGGTTCAATAAGCTTAGTTTTAAGCCAAGCCATGTCATCTAGAGACAAGCTTTGCAGACAAATGATACAACAATTTGTCTCCTCTTATGGTTCAAATATTCCTTCTTTTATTAAGTGGGTTCTACATGTCACTATTTTTTTCTTTACATGTTCATCCTTATCCTCTTTCTTCTTGGCAAGTTCCTGGTGGATGAACACGCCGAGCAAGCTCACCGTTGGCTGTCATTCATTGGATGTACGGGTCACGGAAGTGGTACAGGGCTAGCGCTCGGCGCCAGATCTTGCTACAGCTCGGTTATTCGGTTTTCTCTCTCATCCACGTGGCTTGGCTATAACACATGCTGACGTGTCTTATTATACCTGCTTTTATATTGGCCTTCCTCGAAGGTCTTATTTAGTTTTAGGATGTAAAATTTTAGGGTGAGTATTACGTGGGGATATAGCATGGGGTGTTCGGATACTAATAAAAAATAAATTACAGAATCCGTCAATAAATCACGAGACGAATTTATTAAGCTCTATTAATCCATCATTAACACATGTGTTAATATATCATTTTATTGTCAAATCATGGACTAATTAGGTTTAAAAAATTCGTCTCGCAAAGTAATCGTAATCTATACAATTAGTTATTTTTTTAGTCTATATTTAATATTCTATACATGTGTCCAAATATTTAATAAGATAAAATATAAATTTTTAGAGAGAAACTAAACAAGCCCTAAATTTGCTAGCCCACGCACATATCTGAGCCTGACCTGCTGCGTGCCACCGTATCGACGACGACTTAAGTTAATGTGCCTAATAATGCAAGTCCACTACTCCCGTCGTTTCACTCGGTCTAGGTGGACCTGGCTTCTATTCATATGCATGACCCAGTTGCATATCCAAGGATATAATTAAGTTCAGCGAATTTCAAGGAGAATTAGTTTACTGTCATATATATCTAGCTAGGCTTTATTTAGATTGCAAGTTTTTTACTCTCTCTTCATCACATCAAATCTTTTGACACATGTATGGAGTATTAAATGTAGATAAAAAAATAACTAATTACACAGTTTGATTATAAATTATAAGACAAATCTTTTGAACCTAGTTAGACCATAATTGAACAATAATTGTCAAATACAAATAAAATTACTATAATACCAAATACTAATTCATAACCCCAATCTAAACGAGGCCCTAGACTCCGGTGGCAGTCATTCGGACGTTTTCCTTCCGAGTTGACAGAGCAGCCTCAGACAAGGTCATGGAGCTCAGTAAAAGATAGATATTGATTCACAAATCAGTTTCAGACAACGTCATGGTTCTCAGTAAAATATAGGTCTTGAATCACGACGCAGCTTCGGACAACGTCATACATTTACTCAAAGATACGCTCTCCATATTGGTAATTCAAGTCGTTTTGAACAGTAATATGATCTCCAAAGCATAACTTTGACTTCTTATTTTTATAAACAAATATTTATTAGAAAGTGATATATGTATATTATTGTGAAAGTTCTTTTTAAGACAAATCTATTCATATGGTTTTCACATTTTCAAACTCAACAATTTAAAAGTTATTCATGATTTATATTTCTAATGTTTGATCCAAGCCTTATCCAAAACAACTTGAATTACCGTATGGAGGGAGTCCTAGATCTTGATTGTCACAATCAATTTAATTATAGAATCAAAATCTATTTTCAATAGAAGCAAACTATCTTTTTTGAATAGAAGATATAAAAAAGTTGAAATAAATGTTGTCTGATTCAAGTATGGCTATAAACTTGGTAGCCAGCACCACAGGATTGGCACCATAAAAAAGGCCATCGTCAAGCACGGATGACTCGGGCACAAAAAACGTTTTATGATGAAGGATTATTAGAGACCATTCCATGTGAGAACCAAAAAAAGTTATTGATTGAAACTAACTGTGAAGATATTCAGTAATCACTGAAAATTTCATGTAGAAACCATTTGTGGAAACCACCATCAGGCACATTAGTAGTAGAGAGCTGGAGTAACAGGTAACTAACCTTGGCATCCATGGGCGAGATAAGGATTGCCGTCGTAACCTTGTTGGCACTGGCACGTATAGCCCAAGTTTCCGGCCGCGCACACGCTGTGGTCGCTCTTGCAGAGCACGCGGTCTGCGTCGGCGGAGCATGCCGTAGTGGCGTTGGCCGGCAAGTTGGGCAGCGATGGAAGGCCCTGCCTGACCCCCCACAGGAGGACAAGGGGCACCTCGAGCGCCGCCCTCGGCGGGCTCTGCTTCACGCTCAGCAGCTCGTCGGGCAGCGGCCTCTGGTCGAACCAGCCCTCCTCCGCCACGAACACGTAGGTCGGCAGGAACGTCAGCGCCTCGCTGTGGTTCCCGGCGTCCAGCCACCTGAGGCGCACCTGCGTGGGGGAGCTGTGGTAGTTGATGGGCGCCTGGCAGCACGCCATGCCGGAGCAGTACTTGCTGCCCGCCCCCGTCTGCCCGACGCTGTCCACCTTCTTGTTGCGGAACGAGCAAAAGGACGCGCAGCCGCTGATGATGCCCGACCTGCCGGGCCCGACGCCGAGGTCCTCCACCAGCGTCGCCACCAGGTTGCACCCGGAGAGCACCAGCTCGTTGCCGTTGGACAGCATGTAGCCGTGGTTCATGAAGCTGCCGCCGAAGGAGACGTTCCGGTCTGAGGTGATGCTGGCGCTGTCGATGATGGAGCCGCTGCGCACCACGCGCACCGTGGCGTTCCGGAGGGAGATCTCGGCGACACGGAGCGTGCCGTCGCCGAGGAGCAGCTGGCCGCTGCTCCGGTCGCAGGTCAGGTTGAACCCCGGCCAGTAGCAGCGCGGCGGCCCGAAGCCGAAAGGGTACGGCACGCTCACGCCCCCGCAGCTGGTGTTGCAGTCGGCCAGCCCTATCGGCGCTGCTGGTGCTGGCGACTCTGCCGCGGCCGCCGCGATCGCTAACACCACCGCGAAAGCTGCTGAGCCTATGGCCATTGAGTGTTGTTTGTTCACTGGAGCACTTCACTTACTCACCACTGCTATTGCCTAATCCTTGCTGCACCTCCTGTTTATATAACGGTAGTGCTAGCGTCCGGATATTCGCACGCTGTATTCCGTTTCGCGCTCCACGCAGGGCCCGCGCCGCCCGAGCGACAAGAGGGGGAAGGTGCGCGGTGCCTCCGATTCGGAAGGACCCGGCAATGACGTCGAATGGATGCCCTGAGACGATGCAGCAGAAGGTGTGGGGAGGAGAGATGCAACATCCGATCTACTTTTGAAACATCCAAATACAACAACTGCAACATACGTCTGAAGGCAGTTGAAACACTTGAAACATGCTTCTGAAACACTTGAAAGAAACACCTGAAAACACACGAAAACCATTGCAACCATACGCAACATCTAAATAAAACACATGCAACGTATGTGTGAAACATATGCAACATCCAGATAAACACACTTGCAACATGCCTTCGGAAACACACAGATGAAACATATATATGAAATATCTGAAACACTCGAAACATACGCTTACAACATGCCTCTGAAACAATTGCAATATGCAACATGTGCAACATCCTTGATCTACTTCTGCAACATCTATATAAAACAAATGCAACATACATTTGAAACGCCTGAAACACTTGAAACATATGTATGAACATAGGAGAGGGGGAGGCTGGTCCGGTCGATTCCAGGCGTCGGGGGGGGGGGAGCTCGGTCGCCAGGGTGAGAGAGGGTGCCGCCGAGGGTGGGGTGGGTGCCGCACCGGGGCGGGGGAGAGCCGCCCACTCGCCTACAACACCGCCGCTCCACCTCCATGGATCTCGCTCGTGCTCCATGGATCTCGTCGGGGTAGGGGAGAGGGCCACCAGATCCACGGGCGTTGAGCACTCCTAGTGGTTGAGGATGCCGGGGTGGGGGCAGGGGCGCCGCCAGGGTAGGGGAAGAAGGACCCGTCGGGGTAGGGGAGGAGGGTGCCGGGGTACGGGAGGAGGACGTCGGGGTGGTGGAGCGCGCACGTCGGGGTGGGTGGGGGCGCCGCCGCCGGCCATGGAGGCAGCCATGGCTACGTCGGGGTGGAGTAGGGCGCGAGCGCAGAAGAGATAAGAATTGGGAGGAGGAAGCGAGGACGACCGTGTAGGAGTGAGCGGTGGGAGGCCGTCCGAATGGGGATTATTTTGTTTGGGGTCCACTCCTAGGGAGCCGTGTCCAGAAACAAAGTCATAGAAGGAATTCCTGATAGGAGCATTATCGTTTATATAAGGTTGCAGTGTTTCACACTAATTCAATGTGCATATTCTGAGTTAGTCCGTCCACTGCTGTAGGAGAGGAAGTATTTTCAGAGAACAACGGTTCTTTTTCAAAGGCGGGCAGCCTAATCGCCCTCCATCAAAATTAATAGGCTATTTGCAAAGGTGATTCTTTTCTGTAGGCCCTCCTCTATCAATGTTAATAGACCATTTTTTTTGTTGATACGCAATGTTAATAAGCCATTTGTAGGACCGTCTCTATAATTCGGTGAATAGAGACGTGCATCTTAAAATGTTAAAACCCATCTTTGTAAATGAATTACGAAAGAAACAATTTTGCACTTCCAACAATCAGACATATTATCTTTGAACTCATGTGTTCCACCCCATACTACACTATACACTGATTTGTTCATATTAGCTTTTAAAATTATTTTATTAAATATTTCAGCCCTGAATGATTCCAAATGAAAAAAGTTTCAACTATAAAGTTTTAGAATTTGTCAAGCTTATGGGGTGTGTCTCCGCCAGAGTTCAAAAAATTTGAAAATTTGAATCTCAAAATCTGATAATTTTGAAACAAATATCTAGGACTTTAAATATTTTCATATCCGAATAGAACAACCGGACGACGCTCAGGTCTTCTTCGGCTCCACGACATCGCCACGGTCCACAAAGCAAGACCCTCCTGGACTCTGGCGCATGTAGACCATAGGCACAACTCCCTAAACCGTCATGTACCCGACCTATCTCGGTATATAAGAGATAGGTCGAATCCTAAGAGGGGGAGGACAATCCGAGATAGATCATTCGCATCCTCACTGTTCCGCTCAGGCTCTACACCGAGAGCAGAGCAACCCAGAGATGGGCACCGAGAGATCCTCCACCGCATCCTCCGTCTTCCTCCTCTCCGATGAGGGGGAAGGCTCCACCGGCAGCGAGACGACCCTAGGATCAGCACCGAGCGATCCCCTACCAAATCTCTCTTTCTTCCTTACACTCTGTTGTAACCCCCTAGATTTTGGGTGCTCTTAAGTATAAGGATCATCAGTTGTTGGACATAGGGCATCGATTGGCCCGAACCAGGATAAATCGTTGCATCCCTCTGTGATTCTTATGTTCTTGAGTCTGCCCGAGCCACCGGAGACACGCACTCTGACATCACATCGAACAACAATGCTTGTCGCGGTTCCGACCTCGCGATAGGCGGCCCCTATAAATATATTGTGTAGTAGTGTACGTCCGACCGACGTTGATATCTCCATCATCACCACCGGATCATTTGCCCAACCGGCGGTGGTATTCAACATATTGTCGCTGGATCGAACTCTGACGCGGCGGTAATAGTAACGACATCATTGCCAGATTGAAGGACGATTCGGCGGTGATGAAGTTTACCACAGCCAGTTTTGAATCGGCGGTGATAAGCGAGGAATCACCAATGACTTTCTCCGGTGACGGAAATAATGGGTGGTGAAGAAGGGTTTAGAACCGGCGACGATGAACTTTTTTAGTAGTGTATATATATTGATTGATCGATTGATGGCCAAAGTTAGGTCGTAGGGACGATGCACAGTAAGTCAAACCGATGCGACATGCCCGTCAAGAGCTGGGAAGTACATCAATTATTTGTTCTTATTACAATGAAGACGCAATTTACCGGAATACCAGAATTAGAACGCACGTCATGCTGCTTTCCTCGGCTGCTGCCTAACTCATTGGAAACTTCCCAGGAATCTCTCTGTTCGACTCTAAGCCCCCAAAATCCGGTCCTGGCCTGGCTTGTTCTTGAGCAGAGACACCGACGCGCATCACCCACAAAAATCTTGGTCCTTGGGTGTCGGAGAAAAGTAACAGCAGCTTGGGATTTCTGGTCGTCTCATCACTCAGGGCTCATCATTGGCGGGCCTCCATTCCAAAATACTTCATCTAAGTCGTTTTAGATTTGTTCTAAATCGAATTCTTCTAATTTCGACCAAGTTTATACAACTATATATGTTAGCACATATAATATCAAATAAACACACATGTAGTTAAACAATCTAGTTTGATGTGTATATGTTTATACATTATTATTCTAGACTTGATCAAAACTAGAAAAGTTAGACATAAAACAAACTAAAACAATTTACAATTTAAGAATTGATAGAGTAAGTGCAGTTTCACAAATAGAATCTGGAACTTCTCCCAGTGATATGGGGTTCTTTTAGTGTTTTAGTATTTAACATTTAGTATAAACTTTTCCTATCAAATACCTTCTAGTGAGAATTCTCATGTGCTATGACTAGTGGTAGTATTTTACTACTATCGGGGATCAATAGTAGGGTATCCGAAGAGAGGGAGCTAATAACTGTCAACATTGATTCATCCGAGTAGTCAAGAGCGCTACTACAGCTCCAACCGACCACCAGGTGCACAAGCTCCGCCTCGCCCGACCTCTGAGGGCGGACTCCGCCTCGCCCGACCTCTAGGGGAAGGCTCCGTCCCGCCCCACACCGAGGCCACGGGCTCCGCCTCACCCGACCTCTGAGGGCTGGCTCCGCCTCGTCCGACACCGAGGCCACGGGCTCCGCCACGCCCCGACCTCTGAGGGCTGGCTCCGCCTCGACCGACCCTTGGGTTTAGGCTCCGCCTCGCTCGACCCTCGGGTTTACGCTCCGCTTCGCCCGGCCACTGGGGAGGGACTCCGCCTCGCCCGACCCCGAGGCCGGGGGGCTCCGTCTTGCCCGATGGAGACCCATACCACCGCCAACCACTTTAGGCCCAAGCGTATGGGTCTGGGTCAAAGCTCTAACACTAGGGAGTGACTGACACGCCTTGATATAACCCGTGGCCGTGACAAACCATATCTGGGGGTTCACATCAGGAACAGTGTCGGCGTACCGGTGATTGTTCTGCCTAACCCTTATACGAACACTGGCAGGTGCATCATTTCACCACGACGTCCCGCCAGGACAGAGTGGAGCGCCACAACCAGGGACGACGCCTGCGCATAGGCGCCGGTGACGGACAGGGCCGCAACGTGGAGCTGTCCCTGTTGACGTCTACAGGGTCGGTGGGACTCGCATGAAGGAAAGGAAGGACCCGACTATCCTGAAGGACTCCTTCTCCCTCTCATTCTCTTCTCTTCCTTCGCTGTAACCCCTGCTTTCCCTTGGTCTATAAAAGAGAAAGCAGGGCGCCCTGATAAGGGGCATCGGATCATCGGACGATCGACTCATCTGATCATCTGACCAACGAACCCATCAAACCTCGAATACACAGCCGAGCGGCGACCGAGCTCTCAGCACCCATTCATTCTTTCGACCAGAGACTTGGGACATGTCTCTCTCGCCCGTTTGTAACCCCTACTACAAACTTTCAGTGCTAATAACACGAGCAGCAGCAACGAACTGGACTTAGGGACATTCCGTCCGAACCAGTATAAACCTCGTATCCTCTTAGCACACCATCCGAGCTAGACGCGCAATATTAGAAATTTACTAGTTGGTGACAACTCGAAACACCGACAACTACTACTTAAAAATACTAAAAGAACTCTATCATTTTAGTAGTGTTTTGTATATGCATGTTTACAAACATATCTAGAATTATACTCATCTAGAGACGGAGGGTGTAAATCTCAACCAGAGACGAATAAAAACAACCCTAACAATTCATCAAAATCTATAGAAACGCATGGTTGCTCCGAGGATTATTATTGACCCATTTGTTGTAGCTCTAACTTCAAAATCTATGCTA